GCCTGCTGCTCACCCTCATCCCGCCCGCCGACGGGGACGCGGGGTACAGGTACTGCAATGCCAGCCAGCAGCCGGGTGACCAAGGGGCCGCCACCACGGTGCCTGGTCCGGGCACGAGCGCCTACAGTGTTTTAAGCACAAGTGCAAAAGCTGTGTCAAAGGAAATGATGAAAACAACTGCTGAGATTTTGGTAGTGAGCAGAAAGCCAACACTAACCAGTTCAGCCTTCCAGGGGTTATTTGGCATGACAGATACGCTTGAGAAAAAAGGCAGGTGGGTTGGTGAAGGCGGTACAAAGACAAATGGCTACTTGGATGGTCTCTCTGGCTGGACAACTTCTGTGAAAGCAGTTGACCGGGAGACACGAGAAGCAGAACTGCCAGCTTCCTACAGACCTCCCTTACGTGGACTCAAGAAGGAAGCAAGCAGCCTGGGTTCTGCTGCAATAGATCTTGCCGATAATGCTGAAGGAAGCCTTTATGCTACTGGAAGTAATGAGCTTTCTTTGTTTAAAACAACTCTTCCTACTGTTGGACATGCTTACGTGTCTGGAAGCCTTTCAGGCCACCAGAAAGACGCCCAAGATGTCAGCTTCAAGGCAGTGCGAAACATCTTTCAGGACAGAGAGCATCAGATTTTTCTTATGGTCCTGGGTGCTGTTGTGCTTTGGGAGCTGTTGGCGACTTGTCTTGAATGGACAGTAGATGAGAGTCTCTATGAATATCTCGACTTCGTTGATGCGACCGACAGGTATGGCAAGCTGTGGATTTGGAGTTACCTGGGAGCATCTATAGGTGCCTGCAGCGTTGCTGTATTCGTGGATCAACTGAATTGCTTCCTCAGCAGGACAATCCCCCGCCTCGCTGTCCATTTCTACGGCTATGCTCTCCTGGTAACGCTCTCGTTGCTTGTCAGCATCTTTTTTCCCATCCACATTCCCAAGAAAACCGGCCGTGTTAACAAAACCGCCAAAGCCCTGGCCCTGCTGTGGAGCGACGGCCGAGCAATCCTGTACGCCATCACTGTCTTCCTCACCGGCGCGGCTGGCTCCACAGTGCACAACTTTCTCTTCTGGCAGATGCAGGACCGAGGCAGCGGTGAGCTGTACATGGGGCTCTCTGTGGCCGTTGGGCTACTTGCTGAAATTCTGCTTTATTTCTTCAAAGAGAAGTTGCTGAGGACTTTCTCGAGCGGCAAAATTGTTGCAGTTGGTCTAAGCCTCCTGGCAGCGCAGCTTCTGTGTTACTCCTTCTTGTGGACTGCGTGGTCGGTTCTCCTCATCCAGATTCTATCTGCCTTCAGCAGCGGCGCGTTGTGGTGGGTGGTTAACGCGACGGTGGATGACGTCGCCACTCCAGGCATGGACAGGCCCTTACGCGCTGCCCTCCAGGGCCTCTGCCACGGTGGAGGAGCCAGTCTGGGCAGTTTTGCAGGAGGGTTTGTGGTGAAGCACTTTGGCCTGGCAGTTCTGTACAGGGCGTGCTGCGTGTGCCTGGTGCTGTGGCTCTTCTTGTTCTTAATTGTCCAATCTAAACTGCCACGGCAGAAAAAAATTAATTATTCTCGTCTCCTGGCTGCAGATTCCAGTGATATGAGTGACTCTGACGAGGAGAACGAGAGGGACTGGCTAGTAAAAGCTATGAAGGATGAAAGCGTTAGCAGGAATTGGTCACAGCAGCGTGGGATCAACTAATCTGTACCTGAATGTAGGGGGTGGAGTGGTAACGTGGTATGATGATGCCCAGAAATTGCCATTAATTCTAAAGTGCTAAATAGATAACAGTCTATATCTGACAGGGTAGATTTTTATTTAAAAAATTTTATAAGTCTTTTTATTTTCTTAATTTATAGAATTCTTGTAGTAATTTTTTCTTTTTAACTTAATGATTTTTTGCTTCCAAAATCATAACAAGGTATTTCGGGTGTACATTTGCTGAAATGAATGTAGCTAAGTTTTTAGTCAAAAAGCAAACTCGAATTGAATTCCGTCTCCACAGAGCTGATGTTGTGGAAACCGTGAGCAAAAGCTCTGACGTGTACTTCGACACAACTGAATGAAAAATATTGTAATGCTAACAGCACACTAAACTTTTTCAAGATGCTCTGTCTGTGAACTCCTTGTGCTGAATAAGGGATGTGAATAAAAAAAATGGTTCATTTGCTCTACTTTGGTTTGTAAAACCAGGTTTTGCTACAGACTGTCTGTCTTCTCATGTTTGGGCATTTAAGTGTGCTGCTGCATCGGCATCTGTTGTTAAAAACCGACGTGGTGTGCTCGCAGGCAGTGCCTGCTGTCTGTCCAAACCGAGCAGAGCAGTCTGTGGCCGTCCTTGCGTTCATTTACCTAAGGTGGCACCCAGCATGCAGGGCGACCAGGAGGCAGCCTGCCCTCCTGATCCGAGTAACTTCTGTGGGCTGGGAATTAGCATGGGGCAATAGGGATTCAGAAGGAGCTTGTCACTGGCTGAGTTTATCTGGTTGAAACTGGTGATGCTCCCTGGGTCACTTTGGCCTGAGGGCAGCCCTCTGCTCGTGTTTTCCTGTTTAGAACTAAATCCGTGTCCTGAACAGGGCCTGCTGAGTCCAGAAGGATCCTTGAGCTGCCTTATCTGCCTTGCCTTAACCTCAAAAGCACACGGATTTCAGCATCTCCTCAATAGGTAAGATTTGCTTACAAATGGAAGGTTGGTCATCTGGTCACACTAAAACATCCATGTCAGACTGTAAATGGGGCTGGTGGAGCAGCTTTGAGCCGCAGAGTCCTTTCAGCTGCCGTCACAAGCTGCTGTCAGTGTATTAGGTACTTCCTTGGTCAAGGGACTACATCATCCCTTTGCAGAGGGATAGATTTCAATAACATCTTCCTAGTGTTTTACAAGCCATGAGACAGGCAGCTGCAAAAAGCAGAATATTCATTTAAATGCATAATTAGTATGTAATATGCAAATGGCATTCCAGTCTGTCGCCCCACTGTGTTCTGGACTCAGTGGGAAGTGGCTGGAGACAAGGAAGAGCAATGCCATCGGAGATAGTCTGTGTCTATGTGCATTGATTCCAGATTATCGGTACATCAGATGCATTCAGGGCAATTAGCTCCCTGTTTCCCTGGCACGGATCGCTGTGCCGTACAGAATCCTCTACTAGAATGGTTATAGATAGAATTGTCCTCGTGCCAAGAATAGCTGGAACTTTTTATGAAGATGTTGCCTTCTCCCAGGAATTCAAACTCAAGCTGAGAACAATTTTAGTGTCAAGAATGTATCCCAGCCTTATTATCATATAATTACTTGTTAATAGAGTATCTGACTTCAGCCTTGAGTAGCATAACTGTAGGCAGCACGTCACAGAGCCGTGTGTGCTTTTGTGAGGTGCTCGCTGCAGAAATAGCTGGAATGGTTTAAAATGCAGTTGCTGCTTCAGGTGGAAGTGACTGCCCTCATTTAAAGCCATTAAATGGTGATACATGCTCTTTTTATCTGCTTCAGCACCAAGTCAGCTGCTGTAATTCCAGTTTTGCAGAGAGAAACCTTGAAATGAGAAGTGCTTGTGCAATCCGTCCTGCGACTGTGGCGGAGGGTGGTAACGACTGCCTGGCAGAGCCACTGAGCATCTCCCTTGGGCTCTTACCCCCGTGGTCATTTTGGCCAGGGATGTTTAGACGTGCTCAGCCACTGCCGCTATGAACAAGGGAGGCTTAAAGGCAGTGCCCAAAGCTTAACTTCAGTGTGATAATCTTGCATAGTACAATTTTTTAAAGTTATTAATTCAATAAACACTTTTGGTGCTGATTCAGGGGAGAATCATATTGATAGAGTTTGAAATATGTTCTGAATTACAAACCACTATGGAAATGAACGTGGCAGAGGGCTCATTCGCTGAAGAAATTGAACCAATTTTGTTAGATAATTTTCCACTGAGGTTTATACAATTCTGTGTCTAACATCGGTGGCTCAATTTCTTCTTCTTAGACCCTGCAAGCCAAGAGGGTGAGGAAGGAGGTGGACTTTGGTTGTTCTATGTGAGACTTCTTTGCTCTGATCGTGGCTTTATTGTTCTTGGAGAAGTAAAAACATGCCAAGGCATTTAATGCTGTTGGGAATAAGACGTAACCGATAAGAACCCGGCTGCCTTTGGGGAAAACAGATTCTCATGATGTTTTTCCAGCCACATCAGAAGTTATTTTTGCATTACTTTGCAATTATTTGCCAAAATAATTGATCTTGAAAATTCTGTTTCTTTAAGTTTTTATTCTTAAGCAGCAATTGTAAGGTTAAAAGTGATTATAAAATCACATAAGATTTTATTGTTTGCCTACTTCATGGTGAACTTTAAGCAAATTTCAGAGGCTTATATGTAGAAATTATGTAGAAATACTTTTTTTATTGCCCCTTGGTGTCAGTCCAGGGTCCAAGTTGAGCTATGTCCTTCTTCTTTGAATACAGTCAGATTTAATTGAGCTCAGGAGGCAAACTGTGGTTAGCACTGAGGAGCAAGTTCCACACAGTGATGGTCTTATGTCTCTTAGTTTTTCAATTCACATAGCTCGATGTATGTGTACTTTGTGAGAGGTTTCAAAGGATCTAAGTAAATCACTTATTAGCTGAGACACCGTTTGCCAAAAAATGGCAGAGGCCTCTTTGCTTGTCGTGAAACAACTTAGAGGCCCTGCAGGTAGTTTCAGTATAGAGCTGGTGCAGCTGAACTGGCACCCGAGTAGCTCATTGCATCAGACACCTTATCTTGATTTTTAAAATCCTATTCTCAAGTGATAATGGAACTAAAATTGCAGATTCTGTCTTTCTGGCAGTTTTTTTATGATAGGTTATTGCGAATGTTTCATTCAGCTCCTCTCTGTGTGCACCTCACATCTGCGACCGACTTGAACAGTGTGGCACTTTCAGAATACGAAATTAGGTAAAACTCAGGGGGCACCGTTCTCTAAATGTTCATTTTTCTCATGGACCTGATCAGCATTGTAAGATCCTTTCCAGTGTTTTCCAAAGATTTCTATAATTCAGCAAACAGACACAGCATGTTTCTTTGAGGAATGCAGTGAAATCTGCCCAGATGAATTCGCAGAGAGGTTTTTGTATTTTTGTAATGAGTCGTTTCCCAAAATCGTGGATCTGGGCTGTTTAAGCTAAGTCCATTTAGCTGTAGTTTCACAAGAGGGGAAGAGTGATGTTTTTGAGAGCTGTGGAGTTATTCTGCATGTTCTGAATCTTAAAAGCAAGAACTCTGGAATTGTCTTTTCTTCCCTGACGGGGTGTGATGTCCCTAAGGCACAACCCGTGCTGTCTTTGATGCTGCTAATAAAAGTGTTTCTCATTTCATTCATCTTTAAAGTACAGAAAAGACATTCCCACTCTGATTTGAACTCTTAGGTAAATTGTGATTACGGCATGATAATGAAATTCTGAGCCTTTATAACATGGGTCCCATATAGACTTCTTAGAAGTATTAGGCAGCTCCTTGCCATTACTGTCATGAGCAGTAAGTAGTACTAATGCAGGGGGAAAAAAGAGCCTGTCTTGAAATATTTCAATACTCGCAGCTTGGCATCGGTATTGCTGTGTTTATCAGGAGGGAGCCAATGTAAAGGAACCTCTGCTGATTTAGACTGTACATTTCTCATGGAACAGATGTGGGGTTTTCTGCATGGTTTCTCCCTGGGACCTGGTTTTGCTGTAATATAAATTACTTTCCTGGCCACTTTTTTATTTTTTGGCAATTTTTTATTTTAAATTGGGTATATTGAGTCCATAAAACTGTGAACCCAAATGTAGAGGCAAGTATGAGGCAACGTTAAAAGTAACCTCTGCTTCACGTTTAATATTGAGAAATCACGCATGAAGAAATCAAGGAACAGAAAACGCAGTTACCTTTTCACGACCTCACCAGTACAGCAGGCAGGGAGGTTGTTGGCAGCACGGCTTCATCTTTGAAACTCTGAGAACATTTCCACCTCTAACCAGGTTGAAAGGTCAGAACTGTGGAGGTGGTTACAACACCGATAATAGCAGGCTTGTGTTAACACAGGAGTTTTTTGTTAGTAAAAGGAATTTTGAGCCAGGGAACACAATCACATGCTGAAATAACTTTACTATTCAAAGCATGAATTGAGAAACAAATCCTAAGGAAAACGAACTTACTAAATAACTCCTAACCAGTTATTGTGACATGGACATCCCTCCACGGGAATAGGCACTCGGGTCCTTGGGACCACAGTCCTTTCTCCACAAGTGACAAATTAAAATACTCAGCTTCCTTCTGTCATCAAGATGCTCCTAATTGGGTTGGCAGCAAAGGGCCCCGCGAGCATCACCTTGGAAGCGTTTCTGAAGACTTGGAATTTGTTGAATGTGCCTTTGGGTGTCTGTGGTTTGCTGTTGCCTACTCAGGTTGTGTCTTTAAAGAGCTTCAAATGACCGTGTCCACCCTAGTGTTCTCCAGGCTGTATTTTAATTCTCTTTGTGTTTGTCAGCACCTTTCGTGTGCCTGGGAGATTGTATTGCTGTTGCTCGTTGCTGGATGATGTTCTGTGTGTAAGTTTGCAATGTACATGTACTTTCTCTTGTGCAGGTGCTTGATTTCCACAGAAGTGACTGTATACAGGGAAATATTAGCGCTTTTAAGAAATACTCTGCTAGTGCCCTGGAAGTCTTGCTCCTAGTGATGCTCCTCTCATGTAGT